ACTTCTTACCCCTACTACTGGGGGACTGTCAGACAGGATGTCTCTGCTCTGCAGTCATTCTGCTCCCAGCTTCTTGGCAAACAGAGTCAGAGACCGTCAGAAGTACTGCAGACAGGCCTACACACCAGAGATCCTCTTCTGTTTTCTCTGAGAAATGCACTCAGGTTTCCTTGACTGTCAGCCTCCGTTTCCATTTCAACTGTATTCGACTCCTCGCACTCCGAAACAAAAGGGGGGTGGGGGGCGGAAATCACCCAGTACAGCTTGCTTTACACACAGATGCATGCACACAGAGGAATCAACTTCAGACTGGTTACAGGACTAGACAATTTTCAGAGCCTGGAAATTTATGAGCAAAAAAGACAGGGAGATGTTGTTCTTTCTCTTTACAGATCCACTTCTCTGAGCTGTAACTGGAGTTTTGTTTTTCTCACCAACCAGCTGTGAACTAATTACAAGAAGTTCTAACTAGTCAAGCTCCCTCTCCAAGCATATGGATCCAATTAAGTCAAACTGCAGCTGATTTTAATCAATCTTCCTTGAAGCAGCCAAACTTGAAGAATCTCTTCTCCTTCAACTCCAAGAGCTGAGGAGAGCAGGAAAGGCAGGAGAGTGGTATTTGCATAAGGAACACTTCACATCCGCTTGGTCGCCTGTAAACACAAGGCTCCTCACAGTAATAAATGCTAATTGAGCGCTCTTCAGAAGTCTTTCCTCCTACTTTATCCGAAAAGCACCGATTTGATCACTTGCTTTTGTTCCTGGCTTCGAGCTGCATCCACCCCGACAAACCAGGGGGAAGGATAGCTCGGAGCATTTCAGGCGATTCATCAAGAAAGCCACTGGGGTACCATCAACAGTCTGCCCACCAGAAGCAAAGGACAGTCAGGGAAGCAAGCCTGCCGGCAGGAGTCACTACAGAGAAAACGGCTACTGCTGGTGTGGAAACCATCCAACCGGTCTGTGACCGACTGCCCCTGCTGCTTTCACAGGCGGACTAACGTCCACTGCCACATTTGTATGCTGTCAGTTGGATAGGTCTTGGGCAATAGGACATGGCCATGGAGGGGCTATCATCTCCCTACATCCCCAACATCTCGTGTGTTTTTGTAACCTGAAGTTTTTACTAGCTGTAAAGATCTGAGCAGTGAGCAATACCCGTGCTACAGTCTTTATAGGCGTGAAGGAAAATCAATACGGCCTGCAGCTAGGTGTCAAGAGCCAAGGGGGTGTTGGAAGAGGAGGGGTATTGAGGTGGATGGAGCCTCCAGCCATAATTCAAGCTGTCCCCATGCAAGCCGAGAATACGAAGAGATGTCAGATGTTATATACGCTGCTGCAGATAGTCATCAATATCTCCATGTCTTTACTTGCTAATATCAGACTCGGGGGGTAAAATCACATGCTTACTAATGCAAAAGCAGTTTTTGAAGTACACACCTGTCCAGAAAGTGAGGGTCACATAGTCCACAATAAGCCTTGACCATTTAAAAAAAAATTGAAGTTGTCCCTGTGTCAACAAAGTCAAACCTTGATGGGTCTTAACTCAGAAATCTGGAGAAGTCCCCTACAGTTTGAGTTGCCTGCAGAGAGCTTATGAACTGGTCTGAATTACATCCCGTCTCACACACATTCCCCATGCCTTACGCTGCCATAATGGCGAGCTCTGTACCTCTCCGTAATGCCTTTTATGTGCTGCAGTCCAATCTTTCACTCCAACTACAGTTTAGCTCGTTATACTTAAAGGAAGATTAAGATCCGCCAGAGATTTGTGTCTTCTTACTCTGTCATCGTTTCCCTACCTCTTTCACTCCTTTATTGGCTTTGATCTTTACTTTTCGTCAAGTCCGTGATTTCGACTGGGACATTCAGCTCAGTAACATATATATTTTTAAAAGAGTTATTTGCGACCTCACTATTTGCTCTGCTTTCTCTCTCTTCTTTCAAAGAGGAAAGTGATTTTAATCCTTCCTTTCCTCAGTACCTCACCCCTGGAATACATAATAGACCAACCTGGGAACGTTCCAGTGACTCCATTCAAGTGCAGAATGACCTTTTCCCAACATATTCTCCTAGAACAACGTGATTGAAGAGATGAATTGCTAAGTGACTCATATTAAATGGGGTTCATCAGTACAGAACCAAATCTACAGTAGCACCTGGAGTCAATAGAAGTGTTTATAGGAAATGTAATTTAAGCGCTGGCTTGGCTAAGAACTTAGCAGTCAAGGGACAAATGCAAAAATCACCATTATTAGGGCTGTATTTTCCTCTCAGAGGAGTCCTGAAAACTCGACCATGCAGCTGGGTGGGCATGGATAAATATTCACATAATCTCAGGATTCATGCTGCAGAGCCCCTAAAATAAGCAGCTCCCGTAGAGGAAATCGCAAGTGCCAAGGAATTAACTTAGAGTTTTTTCCATTTCTTCTTAACTGCTTTCTGCTACAGAGGAACAAGACATCCAAGTTCCTAAGATACGAACAAAGTGCATCTCTTGTATTGCTGTTCAGAGACACCTTTGTTCCCTTTAGCACCCAGAAGCCTCAGGTCTGTCCTATTATTCTGACTCTCGACCCAAGGCCCTGCTTAGTTACAGCCTATTGACTTGATCTGGTCTCAGGGTCCTCCTTCTCCCAGATGTTTCATCTGTGGCACTCACCCCCTGCCCCCCAACATCTCTTCTCTTCAGACCACTTACTTTCCAGGAACTCTTTCTCCACTACAAACTGTCCATTTGCAACGAGTGCCTTGGGGACTTCCTTTGGCTTCCAATTCTGAATGCCTTCTCTTCCCCTCTTTGAGACTTGCAGTCTTTATCATCCTAGGGTAGGTGGAGCTGGGACAACTAAATATGCAAGTTCCTAAAGGGACCTCCATCTATACTTAACCTGAGGTCACTTCTGAGTCCCAGTTTTTCTATTATTTCCATTTATTGTGCAGTGCCCACCAAACAACAGCTCTTCTGATCTAGAAACAAGATTCTGGTTAACACAATTCTAGTCTCCAGCTCCCCTCCAAGGGGCAAGTCTAGTTTCTCCTTTCTGGACCAGCCAGGACCCCCCTTTCCTTTCTTCCCCACACCTTTTCCATCACTGAATCATTCCTTTTACTTTTTAGACCCCTCAGAAAGCCCTAATACACACTACCCCGTTCATCAAGTCCTGTAGCTCTGAGAAATGCCACTGCTGCAAGCCAGTGCAATACGGGCCAATAGCTTCTGAGAGAAGTTCTACCTATCTGTTTGAATTTGAGCCTAGGTCTCTTGCCTGCAAAGAGCAGAGCGGTCACTGTGTCCCCACAACCCTGGTTACTCAAGAGACGAGTGGTTATACTGCAACGTAAGGACTCCGATTGCTGTGTTGATATCCTGCTCCCAAGTCTCGAATTTTCTATTATATTTACTCTAAGAAGGCTGCTACCAAAATGACCACACACACACACACACACACACACACACACACACACAATCACAGAAGGAATGGAACAATTAGGAGCCTTCCTGCTGCAGAAAGACCTTAAAAGTCTGGTGTTCATAGCCATCAGGGGCTATAGCTGATGCTAGTCATAAACAGCATAGGTTTTTTTCACAAGTTGGAGAATTAACTGTGCCCAGGACTCTGCTGGCCTAGTGCAGTGAGCCAGCAGTCATTTGGAGACAACAGCAACAGATTAAATATGACTTAAATGAGTTGTAACCTGCTCTGGAACCAAAGCTGCTGTTGTGTACATTGGAGACCCGAGCATCCGAACACAAAACCCAATGCTTTCATCTCCTCCTGATGACTGAAACCCAATTAAAGGAGAGCCGGGTGACAGGTTTCGTGCTAAACGTGGCTCAGCAGAGGCACTCAGCAGCTCTCGGCTCCCTGCTTTATCAAAGCTGTCACTTCCTCCGTCTCCAGGAATTGGTAATAAAAAAAGAGATTTGATTTCCCTCTAATAGGTGTCAAGATAAAATCAATGGTCTGTCTGAAATCTGGGTAATTTCAAAACTGCGGGTTTTCTACCATGAAGTAATTTACACAAAAAAGGAGGGGGGCGGGGGGGGAAGAAAGGAAAGAAAGAAAAAGAGAAAGAAAAATTAAAAGAATGCAATGCAACAATGCTGAGAGAACAGCAGGGAGAGATAACACTGCTCAGAGCAGGATGGGCTTTGATTAAAAACAGACCAGCTCAGGTTCTTGTTCACTCCGGCTTCTTTCAAGCCGGAAATGCTTAAAAAGCCATTAACAACTCTCCGCTCCCCAGCCCCCTTCTTACGCAGAGCAAGAGTGTCAGAGAAGTGAGAGCAAACAGTGGAATTGGTGCCCTCCACTGCTGTGCGCTCCCCCTGCACTCCATCGGGGAGAGTGGGATTTCACTGCCATATCCAAAATGAAAAGCTGAAGCTCTTGCTTGTGTGACAGGGAAGTGTCTGCCTCAGTAATAAGGTAATGACAGGGACAGCCTGCAGAGCCACGGTGCAAATCAAGCCTCCAGCTCTTTTACCATTCAAAGTGTCTGGTTTCATGCCTTCCTCCTCCTTGTCCCTTGAATATGGAATGATGCCACCATGCTTTCCAATCCAACCACCATATCCCGATTTGGACCTACCAGACCAGGTCAAACTTGTGAGCTTTGCTTTCCATTAGTGGTGACAATGGTGGAAGCTGTGGTGTAACTACAGCTCAGTCACTGTTACCAACCTGCTGTAATGTTGGCAAACACAGGAGCCCTGTGAACACTGCAGCTTCTGCTGCCAGTACAGCTGCAGCAATGGTGTTATGGGGTGGAGTCTGCCTAGACAGGTAAGGGTTGGCAGGCTCCTAACCAGGAATAGTGGAAAAAGCTTCAGATCTTATGTGACTGGATAGACGCTCAAACAGCAATGTTGCAAGCTTGTACACAGATAAAGTACATGGGGCTGGCTCAGCATGGGCTTCCAAAGATCTTTTGATCTTTGCAGTGGAAGGATATGCCCAGTCACAGGCATATCTGCCAGTCTGTCAGCACATCTGTCAAGCCTGGACAATGCCAAGCTCTCTAAGCTTGACCACTGTCTCCCTTAACATGGTCCTGTCCCTTACCTGAAGTGTTAGCTTCTCCAATTTCATTTCTAAACATTTATTCTCCTCTTCCAGCTTGCCTCGCTCAGCTTCCAACTCTTCGATCTTCAGCCTGTAAAGAGGGAGGGGGAAAAAATAAGAAGACATTGCAACCCCCAGTGTGCTATGTCCTGCCACTACAAAAAGCACAATGAGGATGGATCAATGAACCAAGTCATACACCATTTACAAAATAGTCTTCCTGTTGTGAACACCACACTCATTGAGTGCACAAAGCCATGCTATTGCACCATTAACAATGCAGTGTTAAGACATAAATAGTTGGGAAATTCAACACTTACAGCTCCTATGGCAACTGAATGACCTTGGCCATGTCACATACATGTACAAACTCCTATTGTTCTTTGCTTTTGTACAACTTTTCCATTTATATTTTTAGAAATATATTATGACATGGACAGCGTGCAGCACAATAGACAGCAACCTTGTGCTTTGCATTTCTTGCACTTACCACACAACAAATATGGACTCGCGTGAGGTTTTGGATCTAGCTTTCTAGGCATTTTTGGTTTTTATGAGATTTTTTTTTTTTTTTTTTTTAGAGAGAGAGAAAATAGTTAATTATTCTATTTAATAATATTTATTCACATCAGTGCAAATTAGATTTTGATTATCAATGTACCTATCAGGTATGTTTCTCAGCTGGAAAAAAAGTGAATGATCTTTCCATGTCCACTACACAGAAACCATTAACAGCTTAAGTGCTTAATTCTGCCACAAAAGGCCGTGACATGGCAGAATCTTCATATGCACGTCACCCTAAAGTCAGGCCTTCTGCCACATCTATAAAGGAAAAATTCCTGCAAAACTTCTCCAGAGAATCTGGCAGTTTTTAACCATCTTTACTTCAAATAAGTGTGTTGCACAACCATAGGTTTTCAGTTGTTTTAGTTGGTGTTCAAAGTATTTGTCCGGGTGCCCCCTGCTGGTCATTCTCAGAAAGTATAGCAGTCTTGAGAGTCGTTTTCAGCCGTAGGAATAGTTACGAACTGCGGACGACTGGCTACTGAAATTGTCCAAGCAGATACGGAGAGCATTTGATCATTTCAGAAAGACGCATATAAAGAGTGCAGATATTAAGAGGCAGAGGTGGGCTATTGAGGAAGCACAAGAAAGAGGAGGGTGGGAAACCTGGAAACTCAAAATGCATTTTGTGCTTTTAACTGAGAGTTCCGAATGGTTTGCAAAACATGCCAGGGGAACAGAGACCTTTTCTTCTAAGGAAATATAAAATAAGGAAACAGAAAACAGCAGCTACTAAAAGGTCAGGATCAGAAGCACAGGATTCCCAGACATCCCCCAAGCTCAGCATAGTGTATTTTGGCTCAAGTCTTCTCTGAAATCTACCTTTACCACCCATCCTCTCCAAGCAGGTGGTGTTTCTGCCTAGAGGACCTTGCCCTCTGCATTGTGTTTTTCAGCTGAGCCCTTCTGCTGCCTTCTACCATGGAGGAACCTCGGGAAAGAGCAGGCTTTCAGAATGGATCAAGCTGTAACTGGATTAGTTTTAAGCCATTATGTTTATGTAGTTCTCATTCTGTATTTTTAAGATTTAATAACTTGTTCCTACCCTTAATTTCTTGCCTGGAGAGGGCTGGTACTTGATATAATTGTGCTGTTTTGTCAGGGTAGAGAATGTGTGTTCAGAATATCTATGTTGCAGCCGGTGACGTTTTGCAGCACAGTCCGAGCGTTGCTCTCAGCCCTGGTCCTCGAGTGAGATTTCCTAGCTGTTCTCTTATGAAAGTTCAGCTACTTGAATTTTTCAGTCGTTTAATTTTCACTCTGCCTCCTTCTGCAGAGAGAGCTGTGCTCTTGGGTATCACAGCACCCAACAGTACCTGCTCCAATGCAACGGGGAGCCAAGGTGCAACCTCATTCCCACCCTCGGTTGGTACCACTCCTTCCTAACTGGGGAACTGTTTCCCCCCAGTGCTAGCTGGGGCCATCATTGCGCTCTCAGTGCCAGAGGGATTTCTAGAGACTCACTAATGCTTTAGCTATTTACAGAACACTCTTCTCCTGGCCTGTTTTTCACACAGTAAAGTGCCCTGGATCTCTGCTGTGGGGATGTTAAGACCCATTAACAAACTCTCTAGGTCTTCCCCAAACAGTCCATGAGAGCACTTCCCAGTGGCAGAGAGAGAGGCAGGGGAGAGCTTATCTATGCACAAGCACAGCAAAGCAATTGTGGTTAGTAGTTAAGTTACAACAAGCAAATGATGAGATGGTACTTGGCCGGCACTGGATTTTCCCAGTAAGCTCAGTTACTGGGCCAAGACGGTGATGTATTTAGATTTCCCAATATGCATAAGGACAATGGTAGTCTGCAGGCAACCTCGTGTCCCACCTGACCAGATGCCAACAATAAGATATAATGGTACCCATTTTACACCCAAGTCTGAACTCTCAATGTTTTATGTAGCAATTACGCCTCCTTTGTGGATAGTCCCTATAGGTGCTTTAAAGTAGAGAGAACAGTTCAAGGCAGAATCATATGATGAACAAGAGAAAGTAAATGAGAGAGGGGCCAGGGCAAAGTACAGTCACCTGTCAATTCAATGTCTAGCTTAGAATGAAGACTGGCGTCTGCTTTAAAAGCAGTTTTCCATGCAAGAAAGAAGAAATATCAGTTGCTCTGTAAAATACTGATGCTATAAAACACTGAGCTTTACTGTCGCAGGAAAAATCACTGGGATTCACTTCTGAAAATCTACCAATTCGCTCTTTGAAGAGAGGTTTGAAAACATGAAAACATTTAAACTCTTGACAAGATTGCTTCAAATCTCTAAAAGGATTTTCCTGCAGCACATACAGCAGAATTAAATAACCTAGAAAAGGAGGCAGTACAATCACAGCGCTGTTTCAAGCCACCTTCCCAGGCCTTGGGGAGACATTTGGTTAGCCCAAGATCACAGAGGACTTGTACCTGCTCTGACCTGTGTATCTGTTGCCAATAGGCTGTCCTCACAAGGGTCTCCAGTGCTGTCTAGCTGGGAGCATCGAGGTGCTGCTCACCCAGAGAAAGCACACGTGTAAGGCCCAACGTAGAAGGGACCAAAATAAGGGGAAAAAACCCTACATGCCCAAGAAAAACATTTGCCCTTCTAAGCAAATATAATTTGCCCAATAAATACTCAGTAACATCATCACCAGAGCATCTACGGAAAATGTTAAGAAGGACAGCTAGATAACTCTTCCCTTTAGAAATTCTCTGAGTCCAGTTCATTCCAGGAGAATTAAAAGGTGGCCCTATTCTTCTCCCCCATTGTCCTTATTCACACTTCTAAAACACTGGCAAATACTGTGGGTACCATTGCTTAGGGCATCTCTCACAGCATGCCCCATCTGTGAAGAGCGCCCTGCCATGTGGAGAAGCTATCACAGAAGAGGAAACTATCGAATGGAGCAGAAAAATGTATGTGTTGGGAAGCCACTATTAAAGGATCCAGATGGCAAGGAGACGGTGTTAGGAGTGGAGCAGAGAGATTTCCAGCAACTGTGACTAATAGGCATTGGCAAGGACATGAATTCCTTTTGAATTACTGTAACTGTACCCAGTTGCTAAATCCATAGAAAACATTTAGGATTTACTGGAGTTGCTGTTTGACAGCAGAAAGAAAAAGTTCAGATTTGTTCCAGCTGAAAAGGTCCTTCAGCTGTTCCCAACTTAAGTCTTTAGTGAAGTTTTTTTAATGCATTATTTTTATTTATTTGTGGTTATAAAATGGCATCCTTTGCACATTTATTAACAGCTCAGTAAAACATGCTATTGTCTAAACTCTGTCCACTTTGTCCTACGCCACAGTCAGCAAACCAAACTGTTTGACCATTACCTCTATTAGGAGACCAGCACACCACAGCAAATATAATTTACAGGAGCATGTGGGGGAGGGAGAGATGGGAGGAATGGCAGTATTAATATTGGCTTTAATTGCCTCCTCAGAAATGATGCTGGGAAAAATTTCACATTTAAAGTTATAAAAGGTCTGACGGAAGAGCACATTGTTCTTGAAAGGAGAAGGAGAAAAACTGATAAAGTCTTTCACAAGCTTCTCACTTGAAAATTTACTTTCCATACTAAAGAAAAATGAGACAAAAGATTAAAAAAAAAGAAGCCTGCACTCACTTACAGACCATGAATACAGATTCAGAGGATTAATGTGGATTTCTTTGTCCTTTGTGTCTATCCTGCATTTGTTTTCAGAAGTTAGCTTTTAACCGGGAGGTTTATATGGAAACGCCTGGAGGCGCAGTCTTTTCCTGCTTTTCAGGTTTCTCTCACCATTTTCTGCTACTTTCTTTCCATTTCTCAGGTACCAAAAAAGCCGCTAACCGGAGGGGTTGGGCTCAGTGCAGAAAAGCAAGCTATCGCGGTGTAGATTAATGATGTGTTACAGTCCGTAAAAACCTTCCCCTCACCAGATGTGGGATTTCCACTTTGGAGAGCTCGTATTCTTCCATCTTTTTTTCTGCCACAGTGCATTTGTGACAATGTTTTGTTTAAGGGAAGGAATACATGTAGAGTGCGTGCTCCTTGCTCCTGTGACTCCTCTGGCAGTAGGCAAGAGTGCCTTCCCTGAGTGGAGAGACACCACCTACAAGGAGCATCCAAGTGAACTGGCAGTTCAGAGGCCCAGGAGAGTTCCTCTAATGCCCTACCAGAGAGAAGGGAGGGAGGAAGGGCAAACCAACCAATGTCTCACCCCTACCCATCCCTTCCCCACATAATCCTTCCTATCTTCACTTATCACATTTGACCGACTTCATCTTTGCTGCAGGGAGAAGATTTAAAGCTTGAGCAGGCAGGGAGCATGCACTGCTAGGGACCACCACAGCTCATGCCCTGTTCCACAGCTTCCATTGTGCTTTCAGTGCATTGCTTCTCACTAGAAATGGCTCAGAAAAGTGACCACTTCTAGGACACTGAAAGCTGGATTTTGTGACCAGGAAGAAGCAGAGCTGTAGGATTAACAGCCACAGGTGCCACTTGAAAACAGATTGAAGGTATTTGTAGTCTAAGAGGAGAAAAGTTCAGGGGCTACCTCTGTACAGCATGCACTGGGCAGCTCTATAACAGAATCACTATTATGGATTTGAGACCTCTGCCCCCGGGCAGGAAAAGATGGACACTGGGACAGAAGAGATCCATTCCCACTGTCAGGAATCTGCCACCAATATAATGACATCCTGTAATATGTAGAAATCCAGCTGTTTTTCTTCTCCTGCCGTCCTTGAAGCTGCTCAGCTAATAGATGGCAAATGCTGCTCAATGAAGATAAACACTGAATAATGAGTCTTGGAGGTGAAAATAAAGAGACTGGAACTTCTCCTAAATGGAAAGGGTGCTGCAGCCCATACTAACCAGGAGAGAGAGGGAGACTGGGGAGTTACTGTAGAAATGTTATGAAAGCCTCCAGCTCTCAGAAGACAGCAAACATGATGCTGGTTTTACTGATAGAGAAGCATATTAACAACCAGAAGGAAGGCTCAAATTGATTGCTGCCAATGAGATGCTGTACACCCCTGCAGCACTACAGACATCTTGCCTCAGAATGGTCCAGCCTGCCTGAGAGACGTTGGAAATGAAATCAGATCTTCAACACTAAACACAAATAAGAACATAGGGAGAAGGAAAGAAAACTGCATGACTTCCAGGTCCACCTTCTTCAAAACGGGATGTGGGAGATGCTGGGCCTTCAAAACTCTGCTGTAAAGATTGGCAAAAACTGCCTCTCAAGGAGTCCGTCCCCAAGATTAGGTTTATGGCTTTAGGTTACATTGGAATAGCTTAGCTGAACATTTGTGGTTTTCAAATATCTTCCAATCAAATACTGAGCTGCACTTGCAAAGCTATAAAACAAGCTGCAGGGGGAAAAAAAAAAAAAAAGGTTCAGCAAATTCAGAAGACATAGGTCAGTAATTTGTGCCTGCTGCAACCTCCTGCTCTCAGGCCTGAGAGGCAGCAATACTTCTAACGGTGATGGAACTGAAAATATAAAAGAATTAAGAGGAGGGAAAATCATCCAGCCAAAGCTCTGCATCATCTCAGTAATGAACAGGCAGGTTGTCAAGATCTAACTGATTTTGCTCAGTTTGAATAAAAGGAACCTTATTAAAACACTCTGGACATAGATTAACTTTTCTGTGCTCCGTATTTATTATGTCACCTGCCTTGGAACAGGAGCTGTAAATGCTTTAATAAATAGGCTGAAAGGCTGTCTAGTTTGACTGTAGCTTTTGTAAATGCTTATGTATTCTCTGCTGAAATGTTGTTTTGTAACTTCTCTCTCATTGAATCACAACATGTATCCCTCTGCCATCTGCAACAGCACACTCAGGGAACTATTCTTCTTTCTCCAGTGCTGGAAGCACATCAGTATCACAAAAGGCTGATTCTGAGCCCCTCTACAAGGATGCCAACAGGTCTTGCATCTAAAGTCCAGATCTGGTAAAAACCAAACGCAAACAGCAATGCTGGTCCACAGGGAAGCGAGTAAATAGGAGGAATGCGTGATGAAGGAGCCACTGCAGTATGAATTAACAGAGTGCAAGAGACTTGGACAGATTCCAAAAACAGCGTGGAGGGACCCAAGGGGGGAAAGGGCTAGAAAGAGGCAAGACAGAGAGAAGATCAGAGGACTCAAAATTTTTTGTGGCTTCAGGGACTTAGGTTTGTAAGGGCTTTTTTTTTGTTGTTGAGGGAGGAGGAGCAGGCAAGGTGAAATGCTCATAGATTGGAGTCGGTTGGTAAAGAAGGATTATTTTCTGGAAATACACTACAAGGAGAAGTGTGTTATGATAAATGCTAATGTGTTGTCATTTAAATGGCAAGCTCCTCAGCACAGGGACAGGTTTCATGGTTGTGTATAGCTCTCAGTAGAGCAGGGTCTCGAGCCCATGGATGGTTCCTTCCCCCGCTCGCTCCCCAAATGTTTACCAAATGGAAACAACTCCCTGCACATAGCTCACCTGAGCATGTTCACTTCCTCCTGCGTGACGAAGAGGCTTTGATCCGCTGTGCAAGTTTGAGACTTCAGGAACTTCAGCTCTGCCTCCAGCTGCAGAACAGGAGAGGACGTTAGTTCACACAACAAATTAAGAGATATTATGGACCGTTGTAAATACTGAAAGGAGGGAGGAGAGTTTTAAGTGCTATACCATATCTAAACATCTGATTCCTTAAACTTTGGGGACTTTAAAACATGCAATATTTGTGCAGCTGCAGTGCCCAGGTGCATTGTGGTTTTGTTCACCTTCCTCTGACACATCATAGATCACAGTAACTCTATGAGACAGGATTCTGGACTCAATGCCCCATCGTTATATCACTACAATGGAAACTATGCTCCTATATCCAACTCTATTGCGGTGCAAGTCTCTTTAGTCTTGTGGCTCTTCTACCTGAAGGCGACAAAATTGGAAACTGGAACCGTTTCAATGTACCATGGCAAGTACAATTTCATGCGTCAAGTGCCAGCTCCACAGCTAACACTCTTCTCTCTCCCTATGCCTCCATTTAGCTTCCCTGGCATTTGGTCCAAGGCAGCGAAGGGATTATTTTATTCAACATTCACTACTCCTCTTCTAGGCATGTTCCTTATGACTCTCCACAAATCATCTAAGGCAGAGAACCCCTTATATGAACCTAAAGCTTGCTTAGCTCCTGAGGTTCAGAGCTGGAATTTAAACCTCATTTAACACCAATTCCTCCCCAAGGAAATGAACCCCAGCTAAGATGATGTCGGTGCCTTGTCCAGACCAACTCGGAAGCTCCTTCATGGCATAGCCATTGGAAAGCGGATGCTTTCCAACAATTTCACATGCACAGGCCTCTTGTAACTTAAATTGTTCAGGTGAGACGGGGCCAGTAGATTAAGAATTAAGGAAGCATTTTACCTCAAGCTTCTCAACCAAGAAGATCCACAATCTCACATGTGAATACTTCTTATCCAGGCCCTGTCATTTTCTAGTTGGGGACATAAGGAAAGGAACGGAGAAATCTCTTCAGTCTCTTTGACCACTGGAATCTGTATTCTCCACCCAGCTGCTAAGACACCATGGGCAGGGGAAGGGGAAATGGCAGCACTCACTCCCCAAAAAGCCTCCAAACTTGTAAGCAGAGAAAGACTGTACAGAGCGCATGCAACAGCTGTATTACTACCTCACAGTGTGAACTTCTCTGGTTTTTCCTTCATCTGTCATGTGCGTCCTGACTGCTAACCCTGCTCATAAATCTATAGCCAGATGTTGTGATTTTCACTTATAAGGAAAACAATAAACAACACAACCTTCATTACAGACGAAACCGTATGAACACAGAGGACTCGGCATCAGGTAGATTAATGCATTAACACAGGTTCCTTCAGCTGTACTGATTAGGCCTGTAGAGCATCACAATTCTGCACTGACGGACAGGGCTCGAATGCAGGAAGCTGGTACCAAGTTACAACCGGAGAAAGGAACATGAGTAAGAAGGCAAGAACGAACGGACAACTGCCGAGCTGCACCTAGTAATAACACTTAGCCGGGAATCAAGTTTCAATCTATATACTTTTGCCCACCTGGGTGCCCCATGAAATGCTTCAGGATCATGGAGCCAGGTACAGGCAGATGCAGCAGCAGGGAACGGTCAGATTTTTCCTGTATTTTTAGGGAGAAAGAGTGAGGCAAGATGTTCTAGACACCATCTTCTTTGGAACCCCGATGCATGTTTTTGCTCCCATTTCCTGCCAAACCCCTTTCAAGAAGAGAGAGAAGAAAAAAAAGCAAAAGCTCACCTGCACCACCGTGCTGTAAAAATGTTAATGCATATTAGCTAGCTGATAAGATTATCACAGCAAGAAATGTTTTCCTCAATTTTCTGATTACCAAGCTTATCTCTCCCCACTCAGCCCATCGCAGATGGCTGGGATAAAGCAAGTGCTCTAGATAATTCCAGGGATGCGAATCAAGGTACCAGCACTGGCAGCAGACTTCAATTCCAACCTACTTCTAGCAGGAAAACATTCATTATACACCCTGCTTCCCATCTCCGCTCAAGGCTGGGATGAGGTTTGTTATTACAGTTCTGCACTGCTTTCCAGGCTGCATGTGGACAGCATTTGAAGATGGAAGGGCTGGTAAATGTGTTATTTATCATAAGCTAAGCGGCCTCAGCCTTGAGTCCAACTGCCACCTGCTTACTGACATGAGCCGATAAATCACTGCTGGCTCCTCTGAAGAAGACGGGGGGTTAGTAATCTGCTGCTGTGGCTTGGGGTTGTGTGCGGTCACTGCGTGGACAAGCAAAAAGTTTGAGTGTGTAATGGAACAAGGCAACAGGTGTGCACCTGCTCACACGAGTGTGCTGCAATGGAAAGCATCAGCGCAGGTCCTTTATGTGGCATGTTGGTGATGACAGGTTAGACTCAGGAATTCCTGATAACTGCGTACCAATTACCTCGCGAGCGGCTCCGTTAGAAACCGAGTGAGATTCTGTATTGCATGTGTTCAAACAAGTCACGGGAGGTGAGGAGGAGCACATGGGCAGGGAGGCATAAGGGGGCTTTAGACATCATCTTTATGCCCTCCCGATTTTAACCTGCTCCAGGGCTGAGGCAACCCAAGGCTAAATGTGGCTGCTGAGAATGGGGGCAGGTGGGACTGCATTAATATTGATGCAATAAATCAGAGTAAGAGGTGTATGCAGACATGGCCATGTTAATAGATAAAAAGGATTCAGGGTTTTGAGTGCATAGACCTCTATCTATTCAGTCTCAAGGCAAAAATCATCACTATAAAAATCTGTTAAACCTTTTATCGAAAGGAAAAAAAACCCAAACAGTGGATCATTTGAACAGCACGGTGTTCAGCAAGGCTTTCACTCTAACAACAGTGCTTACGCCTCAACTCCTTTAGCTATAGAGAGCTTCTTTAAGGAACACCGCCTTCTCCTGCATTTGACAACCTTTTAGAGGGTGTTAATTGTCCTTTCCCAGGAAAAAGAAATAGCTGATTGCAACGGGCTGGAGCTGTTGCTCTTGTTGGAGGCTGATCCTGCTTCCTTGAAGGTAAAACAGGACAAACACTCACAAAAATAGAGAGAAAAGGACAGCAAAGACAGAAAATCATATTCCGGGTGCTGACTGGTACAAGCAATCTCATCCTGCTAGAGAAAAGAGAGAGCCACAGACAGCACTTGGCCCTACTAGCAACTCCAAGACCAGCAAGCTTCTGCAAGCATCAGGTTGTTTAAGGCATGCCTTTAGCCATCTCTGGAGTCACAGGTTTGCAAGAAGCATGGCAAGAGATGTGGTCCTAGCTTGCTAAGTCAGAAAAGGGGAGAAAAAAGGAAAAGAGGACATGTGGGAGGGGATGACAACAGAGATGAAAGTCTCATGTTGCAGGTGGCTATCAGGACCCGGCATCCCTGGGGAGGTCATGTTGTACCTCTCATTTGAGGACCTCTCTGGCTCAGCTTGGTCTCGATACCTCCTACGATTGGGGTGAAGGACTAATGGTCATGGTGAATTGCAGACCCCCGCCTGGGAAAAGGTCACTAGTTCCAGCCCTTGCGTCCTCTGGCTGTCAGCATCAAATTATGGATCCCAAAAGAGTGATGGATAGAATAGCCCATCCTCATGTTATTCTGTCCACCAATTAGGCCTAATTTCCAGCACATCAATTTTGGTCAATTAATTTCCAGTCAACTTGTTTACAAGACTTGACCTTAACACAGTCCTTGGGTGGTTTCAGTAGGCGTCTTTGGGCTAATTCAGATTTTCTGCCTAACTTTTGCTGACCTTTAGAAACACTTTCACATAACTGACTGAGCTAGACTTTGTTGCCTTGGACAACTCACACCTTCACCTTCTACACAATAGGGCATCTTAACTTAAAGCAAATGTAGGCAACAGGACTGTCCAGAATCCTTCTCTGTGCTGTCTACTCCCTCCCGTCATCTCTTCCTTAACCCAGGCCTAGCTCATACACCAGCTTATCAGGAGATGGTCTGAGGCAGGCTTATTCAGTTCCTGCACCAAGGAAATTCCGTTCTGGACAGATCTCGGGTTGTTAAGGCCCATTGAAGTTGTTCTGGTTATTTTAGCCGTCAAAAAGAGGTCCAATGCAAAAATCAGCATTTTGCTTTATTACTGATGCACAACACTATGTGCAGTGCATTTTATCTCCTCTCCTGATCCTGAGAAATGCTCAAGGAATGTGACTCCTATATGAACTTCGAGCTCAAACTCCTCAGGATCAGTCCCTTCATAATACTCTTGTCTCCACTGACTGGAATATATTACTGGTTTCTAAAGGAGCTGGGCTATTTTTTTTAGGTTAGCCAAGGCTTTTCTGACACTAGAAAAGGCAGAATGACAAGTAATGTCAGAGACCATTACTGGAGAGAAAAAATAAACCAGTGTGTAAACACTCCGACCATTGGCACAGCGACGCCTTTCCAGCCCTTCCCTCAAACCACTTCCATTATATCCAGCCCCTTTTCATTTTCTTGACTTCTAGTAAACTTTAGAGCTAGTGACTAGATGTAATCAGTGTACATCTTACATTTTTTTTTAAAAATCTCTTGTTATCATTAAGGATGAAAGGGCCACAGTGTGTGTGTGCGCACATGTGTGTGTGCGCGTGCTCAACCTCAAAACAGTGAACTGGAATGATGCTTTAAAATAAATAAATAAATAAATAAATAAATACAACCCCCATGAGTCAATCTTTATCATTAACAGAGTAGAGGAGAAGCTTTAAAATTACTATACAGTTTAGAATTAAATAGACTGGCTTCCTCTCTCCCACCTCCATTTTAAAACCTGCCTGGACAGGATTTCCAGATGGCTGTACCCCGGCAAGTGTTAATGGCATTACCAACACTTATAGCAAACTAAGGAATGCATTTATTTCGGTTTCCCTGTTCTACATGCAGGACCAAAACAACCCCTACCGGGCAGGGGAAACACACAACTATGGATGCAGTTCCAGACAGTGAATCAAAGCAGATCCTGCATCTGAGATGCTTGGATTCCAAGATGCACATGCGGCATTTTGTCCATTTTAGCCCCAG